TTTGTTTTTTGTTAAGTTGCCTAATAATTATGCACAGTAATAGTCACCTGCACACACAGATATCCCCCTAAAATAGCTAAAACTAAAAACAAACTAAAAATTACTCCCAAAAACATTCAGCTTTGATATTAATGAGTTTTTTGGGTTCATTGAGAACATGGTTGTTGTTCAATAATAAAATTATCCCTCAAAAATACAACTTGCCTAATAATTCTGCACTCCCTGTACTTCTTGTCTGTTGTGAAAAATCAGAAAAACTATAATTTCTACTAATAGGTTTTTCACATGAGAAGTGACACCTGCTAGCATCCAATTCCTTTTTGGTGAGAAGTGAGCAGGCAGCGGGGGACTAGGTAGCAGCTTAGGTGGCAGTTTGGTGGGTGGGTGCAATCCCAAGAGACTGCTTTTTTGCATGAATTGAGAAAATGCTTGCCTTCCAAAATAAAGCTGTTAAATAATAATTTAATTGAGGTCACGCTTTACTTAAAAGTAAAAAGATGCAGGAAAATTAAATTCTGGAGGCTGCATACATGTTCAAATTTAAAGGAGCATAGACTTGAAGGTGTGTGTTCAGAAATGGACAGAAATGATGCTTATCTTGCAGCTGAGTACAACAATGGTCTTACCCTAGTCCACAGACTTTTGCATCCATGCACAATGTTCAAGAAACAGAAACATTCCCATCATATTGTCCTGGGATGACTTGTTTATTGTGCAGCTCTCCTAGTTAGTTCACTACAGGACATATCACTTCAAACACTCTGACCTTTCTGTTGTCTTTCACATGAGATGGCAGAGGGAGGTGTGGGACAAACAGCAGTACATTGCTTACATGTAGACTTTAGTAGCCCAGATGGCACAATAATGGAGCGTTACGGTTAATTATTGTGAAACAAGAGTCTCCCATTCACTCTGTCTTAACTCTGGGACTTGTGTTTGTGTATTTTCTATAAATCTGAAGCACCGATCTACCTTCTAACAGGTAAACTTTTGACAGCACATTCTTTGACTTTATCAGGAAAAATATTTGCTTTTGTACTGACATTTTGTGCAAAATAAGGATAATCGATTAAAACCATGAAGACACTCAAAATAAATCTCCTGTGGTGGGAAACTATTTTGTGCAACCTTTGTATTTACAGTTTTGAGGGATAAACCTCTTAAATTTCTCTAACTAAAAATATATGTTAAAAAAAACAAAAACGATTTTCAATTTTCTTGTAGTTTATTGCACTTTTTTGTAATTTATGTAATTACTATGCACTTAATGCATACATATTAAAATCTGGGCTATAATGGTTGTATTGATGTATAGCAACTTGAAATGCTCCCAAAAATGGCGCTATAACATGTAAAAATATAATATAATCTCTGGCGGATGTGGTAGGTCTTAAAGAGTTAAATTACAAATAAAATTTGTAGTAAAGTAACAAGCTTTCTCACTCTACAAAGTTGGCTGTACAGTATATCAGTATTATCAGTATATATCAGTATCATTATTTTGTCTATATTCACCTGGAAATTGTTGATTTTACACAAAAGAAATTTTAATAGTATTCCAACTTGTTATTAATATACATTTTTAGCCCACATTAGTTTTATTAGTTGAGTATTTAATGAATACTTGATGATTTTCGGCTGTCAACAACCAAGGAAGACAGAAAAGCTGATGAAACAGAAAGTCCAGAGGTTTAGTACGAAGGAAGTGAAGACAGATATCAAAAGGACAAAGAGTGAAAAGGCAGTTTGTCCAGATGACATACTGTACCTGCTAAACAGACTGGTTCTTATATATTGCTTTTCCACTCAATACATTTCACACAACTTGTACATTCATCCAAAGTGCTTCCCATCTAAGATTCACTCATACTCCGATGGATGCGTCACAGAGCAACATGGGGTTAGTATCTGGCCTGCAGGAAGCACTGTTAAATGTTCAGAACCACCAACCTTCCGGTTAGTAGGTAACCCACTCTGCCACCTAAACTACAGCCACCCCGCAAAAAAGCAGTTTTTTTAGTGTTTAACACAATTCTAGAAATTGAGAGGATGCCTGAAGAAGGGAGAGGAGTGTGTTGGTACCAATTTTCAAGAACAAGGCTGATATGCAGAGCTGTAGTAACAACAGAGGGAGAAAGCTGATGAGCCATACCATGAAGCTATGGGAAACACTTGTTGAAGCTAGATTAGGAAAAGAGATGATGATCTGTGAGCAGCAATATGGCTTCAGGCTGAGAAAGAGCAGAACAAACGCTGATGCTGATGACACCTTTTCTCTGGTCCCCTCCCCAATCAGACCAGGAGTGACATGTTTAGCCGCATGTTCTCATTAAATTGCTGGCTGTCTGAATGGTGTCCCAGAAA